CATTTCTACTAAAATAAGATTACCAAAAACCTCACTATTTCATTAGTTTCCTTATGAATTTTCCGTGCACTAAATGTACGTCAAAAAACCCAGAAGACTTAAAGAGACTTCTGATATTTCACGTGACTTCAAAACTGAAATCTGAGTTGTTTTTCCATCGGATCGAACTATCAACATAATGTGACTGATTATTTCATAAGATTAGGACTACAGACGATACTTTCATGCTCCGAAAGTGTGCTTATGAAGAAGAATGAGTGGATAGCTAACAGCGAATATTAAATCTTTGTGTAACATAGAAATACTTACTAGTGAAACCAAAAATCTTTCCATGGTGGGTGTGGATGTAAATGTGGACCTGAGTGGAAAAAAGAGCCGCATCTACAGCACAACTATACTAGGGGTGGGAAGTTACCGTTCCCAGACCGTTACCCGGTAACGGTAACGGTAACGGTAACGGGTAACTATTCCGTTAGCAGTTTCCGGATAACTGGTAACCGAGCAGTTAACAGTTACCTTTTCAGGGTAACTCGTTAGAACGACGAATTATGACTTCCTATGATCGAATTTTGTCGATAGATTAATTTTTAAATTTCAGAGTTACCCGATAACTGGTAACTGGTTTCCGGTTACCAGTTACCGGGTAACTCCGAAATTCAAAAATTAATTTTTTCACAAAATTCAATCATAGGAAGTCATAATTCTTCGTTTTAACGAGTCACGCTGAAAAAGTAACTGGTAACTGCGCCGTTACCGTTACCCGGGAATGGTAGCGGTAACTTCCCACCCCTAACCTATACTCGCACCCTCACACCCTATTAGCTTTTCCCAAAAAGTGTCTCTTTTGAGAACCTTTTGTGGGTGAGTGTGAGTATGGGTGTGGGGTAGGGTGAGGGAGTTGGATGGGTGTGGGTGGATGCGGCGTCCGAATATAATTGTGACAGAATGAAAGAGGAACACCCAGATCCATACTCACGCCTATTCTCACACCGAAATCCTCACGTTATATAAGTGCGATACATTCTATTTTGTTGCAAATAACAATGCAAAAAATGACGATAATGGACTCCTTTCTCTTTCGCCTGTTGTTAACAACTATATTTTCGATTTCAGCCAGGTGGAGCTTGTCCTTCGTCTTCAACACAGAAAAAGGAAAACATGTGGCATGTCGTAGCAAAACTCAGATGAAAAAGTTAGTGATTGTATAAATAAAAAAACGCCGCTTCGGTTTACAAACACCTGATGATTATTTTTGTTTGATTATCAAACGGCAAGCTAAATTCAATATGAGTACACAAAAATCAAACGGGAATAATTTCAAAACAAGAAATGGTCCCAATGCAAATACAATAGCATCATGGCATACCATGCAATTAAGACAACGAATCGCTAAAAATCATTTGATCATCTGGTTCGACGAAAATATTGATCTAACAAATGAAGATTATAAAAATACACTGATGCAACTGAAAAACATAGTAAATGAAGTGTATACTTTCACACAACGTGATGATTGTGTTGACTTCCTGGCTTCAATCAACAACCAAAAGGTGTTCCTCATTCTACCAAGCATTATAGGCCAACTAATGATACCGCTCATCCATGATATTCCTCATCTTGATAGCATTCACATCTACGGTAGTGATCCCTTAAACCAAGAGTGGAGTAAAAATTGGAATAAAATTAAGAGTGTGTATACCAACATCAGCCCAATTTATAGAGCGCTGAAATCAGCAAAAAAACAATGCGACCAAGATGGCATCTCTATAAGTGTTGTTAGTGCGAATCAAGATGGTTCCAGTCGAAGCCTCGGTCAACTTGATCCTTCATATATTTATACGCAAGTATTCAAGGAAATTCTCCTTGAAATCGACTATACACAACTTGCGGTCAAAGACTTCATTCAACTTTGGTATAACGAAAACTTCGATAATCCGAGTAAGTGGAAGGACATTGACGAATTTCAGCGTGGTTATTGTCCGGAATCGTCAATTATGTGGTACACTCGCGAGTCATTCATCTACGGGCATCTCAACTACTCTCTTCGACAACTAGAAAGCGAAACAATTTTGAAAATGGGATTTTTCCTTTGTGATTTGCATCGACAAATAGAAACTTTGCACAAAACACAGGTCAGTCTTCATCAAAGAAAGCCTTTTAAGGTTTATAGAGGGCAAAGATTATCAAAAGCCAATCTTTACAAACTACAAAAAAACAAGGGTGGACTTATGTCTTTCAATAATTTCTTATCAACTAGCATAGATCACCAGGTATCACTCGGCTATGCCGAAGCTTCCTTGGGCGAATCTGACGACGTTGCTATTGTTTTCCATATATCCATAAATCCTAGCACCTCATCAGCTCCCTTTGCCTTTATCCACGAGGTGAGTCAATTTCAGGAAAATGAAATTCTCTTTTCAATGCACACCGTTTTTCGTATTGGTGAAGTTCGACAAACCGATGCGAACTCTGAATTTTATCTAATAGAGCTTGAACTTACATCAGATGATGACCTACAACTACGCAAGCTCACAGAACAAATACGAAAAGAGGTACAGGCTCCAACAAGTGATACACGCTTAGGAAAATTGTTATTAAAATTAGGTCAATACAGCGAAGCTCAAGAGTTGTACACCAGATTATTGGAACAGGCATCCGACGAAAATATTCAAGCCCATATTTATCACCAGCTTGGTGAGGTGAAACACAGGCGAGGTGAATACCAAAACGCGATTTACTTTTATGAAAAATCCCTCGAAATTAACCGACGACAACTTTCCGCAGATCATACAACGTTGGCTACTAACTACAGCAGCATGGGTCTAGTATTTGAAAGTATGGGAAACTACCTAAAAGCACTAGAACTTCACAAAAAAGCTGTTAAGATAATGGAAGGATCTTCTTCCTCCAATCATCTAGATTTGGCTACTTCCTATAGTCATATCGGTTCATTGCTACACAAAATTACCTCCCACTCAATACCATTGGAACCACACAGCGAAACGCCTAGGAAACAAGAACAATCTCATCCTATAAATCATCTCGACATGGCTACTTTACACAACAAAATCGATTTGCTACTAAATTCGACCACTCACTATCCCGCAGCATTTGAACTTCCAGAAAGAACAACTCAAATACAAGAAAAAACAGCTTATTCGAATCATGTCTCTTTACCAACTTACAATACTAACAATGGACCACTACCCGGTAGGATTCGTGAGTTTCCCAAAGCAATTGAAATTAACGGAACAACACCCAAACCAATAAAAACCCGTGTTCACTCAAAGCAATCTCATTCAGATACTTTCGACAAGACGACTAGTTCCCTAGCTGACAAGAATAATAAATTATCGAAAGAAGCTCAGTCTGACGACAAATGGTTTGAAAAACTAGAAAAATATTTAAATCAAAATTCACCAAAACTGGCTTATTTCCTGCTAGCCATCATTTTCTACTTGTACAGAAAATATGAAGCCAGTAAATTAGATAAATTTAATGACGAAGAAACCCGAAGACGAGCGAACTCTGTTCACTGGAAGAATTCTGGTTCGGCTAGTTTCGAGAACATTAGTACTTCCCTCCCTGAAAGCATGAATAAATTCTGGAAAGAAGGTATGCATGACGATAAATGGTTTGAAAAAATGGAAAACTTTTCTTATAAAAATCGCCCTGAACTGGCTGACTTCATCAAGAAGATCGGTTCGAACTTCAAAAAAACGTATGAGGCCAGTAAATTAGATAAATTTAATGACAAAGAAACCAAAAGACGAGCGAACTCTGTTCACTGGAAGAATTCTGGTTCAGCTAGTTTCGAGAACATTAGTACTTCCCTGCCTGAAAGCGTGAATAAATTCTGGAAAGAAGCTATGCAGGACGACAAATGGTTTGAAAAACAAGAAAACTTTCATAATAAAAATCGTCCTGAACTGGCTGACTTCATGAAGAAGATCGGTTCCAACTTGAAAAACAAGTATGAAGCCAGTAAATTAGATAAATTTAATGACGAAGAAACCAGAAGACGAGCGAACTCTGTTCATTGGAAGAATTCTGGTTCAGCTAGTTTCGAGAACATTAGTACTTCCCTCCCTGAAAGCATGAATAAATTCTTGAAAGAAGCTATGCATGACGACAAATGGTTTGAAAAACTGGAAAACTTTTGTAACAAAAATCATCCTGAACTGGCTGATTTCATGAAGAAGATCATTTCCACCTTGAAAAAAACGTATGAAGCTAGAAATTTACATGAATTCAACGACAAAGCCCGTAAATCAAGAAAAAATTCTTTTCAGTCAAAGTATTTTGATTGGATTACTCTCGGCAACAACACGAGCGTAACAAATCGAAACAGCGAGAACTATCCGCAACGGGTCAAACTCTTTCAAAGACCACGGCAAACGAGAGGCATATATCCTCCTCTGGTGTTTGATGCTCCGGTTTTGCACTCGGAAAACATTTTGGTGATACATCAAAATAGTGCGAACGACTCGAGATCACCTGAAATAAAGAATGAATCTGCTGGGATAATAAACTCAAGTCTCTATCAAAATGATCTTGATTTGGCTAGTTCGTACAAGGACATCGGTACGAAGTATGTCGCCTTAGGTGACTATCCGAGAGCACTTGAGTTTTATGAAGCTGCACTACAGCTAGGAGAAAAATCCCTTGTTTTGAATCATCATGAATTTGCTACTGCATATGATCACATGGGCTTGCTGTATGAAAAGATAGGTAACTCTAGGAAAGCTCTTGAATTTTATGACAAAGCACTTAAAATACGAGAAAAGCCTCTTCTTACGAATGATACTAAATTTGTTAGCTCCTACAACAACTTTAGTAGAACGTGTCGCAAGACGTTCACAGACGAAAAAGCATTTCAATTGAATATCGAAGCGCTTGAATATCTGGAAAAGGCACTTGCAATACGAGAAAAATCTCTTCCTTCTAATCATCCCGACTTGGCTGCTTCCTACGATGATATGGGTTTGCTCTATGAAAAGATGGGTAACTGCACGAAAGCCCTAGAACTTTATAAAAAAGCACTCCAAATAAGAGAAAACTCTCTTCTTCCAAGTCATCCGGATATGGCTACTTCTTACAACAATATCGGTTCGCTTCATGAAAAAATTGGTGACTACCCGGAAGCTATTGAATTTCTCGAGAGAGCGTGTAAAATACGAGAGCAGTCTCTCCCTCAGAATCATCCTGATTTGGCTACTTCTTACAATAACATCGGTTCATTTTATGAGAAGACTGGTGACTATCGGAAAGCTTTTGAATCTCATGAGAGAGCGCTTAATATACGAGAACAATCTCTTTCTCGGAATCATCCAGATTTGGCTATTTCTTACACCAACATTGGGTTGTATTATGAGAAGATAGGTGATTATTTGAAGGCAATTGACTTCTACGAAAAAGCACTTAAAATAAGAAAACATGCGTCTTTGGTGAATTATCCGGATTTGGCTGCTTCTTACGATAACATTGGTGAGCTTTATGAGAAGATTGGTGACTACGCAAAAGCGATGGGTTTCCACGAGAAAGCACTTGTTATTCGACAACAGTCTCGAGCTCCAAATGCTTCAAATTTGGCCTCCGACTCGAATAAGATTGGTTAAGCCTATCAGAAGATGTTTAAATACTCGAAAGCAGTTAAAATTCAGGAATAAGAGGCTTACAAATAAGACGCAATCTGCTCGTTAAAATCATATTATATGTGCTACTTCGCAGAGCATCATTGATCTCAAGCTTCTGAAGTTCAATCGGTACCTGTAAGCAGATTAGTTTAACGAGGATACTATTGAAATAAGAGTGATTTTTTTTTCTATTTAAGTGGTTCCGATTGTAACAAAATATTGATATACATTGATGTTCTAAGATGGATAGTTCATTTTGTTACTGCCCCAGCCTTTATTTTATTTGTGATCACAAAGAGAAACTGGAAGAATAGTGGTACTGCTATTCTCAGTGTATATGATGTTAACGTTCTACATTTTTCCAGTTCTGTCATTCTATACAATGAACGCGCCTTATATACGCACACACGAGAGAGAGAAGAACAGAAAAAGATATGATAGGCATAATCGCATTGCACTAATTAACTTTAAAGATGTAATCTTGTTACGTAAAGATATACGGATAACCTTAAGAAGAAGACCAGAGAGATTGATGATAGTAGTAGATTATACAACACTGATTGAGAATGACATATTGTATAACATAGATAAAAAATTATTCCTCCTTTCTGTAGAATAGTCTCAGAGAATACTAAAGAGAAATGGATATGTTGATATGTGAACAACAAAGGATGTCCATACATTATTGGCACACCGATCAGGCTACTTTCCGCAAGAACTTCGCCTGTATTTGGTAAAATTAGCATGCATTCGAATCGAGCTGAGTTTTACGACGAGGCACTGGAAATAAGTAGGACAGCTGCTTGTCCGGATCATTCGGACTTCACTACTTCGCGCAGCTGCATTATGATAATGGGGCATGATGAGTGAACATTGGAGCAAGACTTAACTCCTCGATAAAGTGATTAAAACCTTGAAAGAATCTCATTTTTTGAATCATCCAAATCATTATGGTTCATGTAACAACATTAGCATGGTGTATGACAACATGAATAATTACTCGAAAGCATTTAAATTATAGGAAACAGCAAGTAAAATACAGGGTATGGATGGGGATGCCGATTGTTGGTGTGAGTGCAGGTGAGGTTGGGTGGTGGAGCCGCTGCCGATGAGGATGGATCTGGGTGCCGATGAGGGTGGGTGGATCTGGGTGCCGGTGGGGGTGTGTGGTGGTGCCGCTGCCGATGAGGGTGGGTGGTAGTGCCACTGCTGATGAGGGTGGCTCTGAGTGCCGGGTGTGGGTGTGTGGGTGTGGGTTGAAAACTTCCACACCCACACCACACGCTTATCTTTATTTTTGACTAATTTTCATTTTCTTCTATAAAATTATAAATTATTGAAAATTATGTTTAGGGTGTGGGTGTAGAAGTTTTCAACTCACACTCACACCGACACCCACACCCACACCCCACACCCCACACCCCACAACCCAAACCCAAACCCACACCCACACCCACAC